TAACACGTTATATAATATATACAGGGTGTTTCAGGGCTAAGTGGCCAAACTGCAAAGATGATTTAAGAACCTCAACATAAGAAAAAAAATTCCTTTGAAGGTACGTCAGCAAACGCTTTGTTTAGAAGATATTCACACCTAAATATTTTCATTGTTATGAATTATTTACGTTATATGAAACAAATACAACCTATTTATTTGTTCTAACTACTTTAATAATTGAACCTAAATACTAAATCCATATTAAATGTTGTTCAAATTGATTTCCTTGAGCATTAAGACAGGCTCGGTATCTTTCTTCAACAGCAGCAGTGGCAGAACGGCACTGGATATCTGTTATTATTTCACAACATTCAATCATCATTCATCGTAAGGAATTAAGGTCATTGACCGGAAGTCTATTCGAAGAGACGTCAAAATTTTTAAAATGTATCCCTTCTCGATTGGGCAACTTTTGAAACCATTCAATTTTTAAAATGTATTTTAATTAAGTAATTTAAGGATTGAATTATGAATTTATCACTTCTCCATCAAATTCCAATTCGTTTGATATTTAATTCATCAAAATCCATTGTTCCAGAAGCCCGGAAAAGAGATCTATCCTATCATATCACTTATAGTGTAAATGTTGCTTCAATAATAGAAATATGGACTCAAGTAATGTATTTTAAGGGATATTATGGAGACGTTTGAAATTTGGATACAAAGTTGCAGGTATTAATAACGAAAAAATTCTAAAACATTGAAATAACTATGAACCAGCTTGACAGAGGCGTATATGGGAGGATTTATTGGTATTTAATTTCGAGAATTGCGTTATAAGGTAATATGTTGATGGCTATTAGTATTGGTTAAGACAGCAGAGACCTGTGTAACTTTTTAATGTCAGGAATAATTGTGCACCATATAAAACTAACAAACTCTAAATACGTTAATATACAAGATCTAACTGAAATGCCTTCCATGCCATATATTATTAGTATATAATACAAGCATAAATATATGTGTACGTTTTTACTTTTACACTGAAATAACGAAATCCCGTTTAAATCACAATAAGCTTTAGCTGGAGTTTGCTGTTATGCGGCATAGTATAACCAAAGCGCCCGTCAGAGGTGAGAGAAACTTTAAAATAAATTACCCAGCTTTAATAAACCTCCTGCTTTAAATAAATATAAATTTGTATATGTGTATATATATACATAGAATAGAATAGAAAATAACTTTTTATATATATATATATTAATATACATATATAGTGGCTCACAGAGAAATTGACACGCCTCGTAGAAAAATATAAAACAGACTTAAACGGTTACATTCATTAAACAAATAAAAACTGTTCAACAGATTTATTTTTAATTTCATTTTAAATATGCACAAAATAAATTACTTAAAAAAAATATTTTAAAAAAATAATAATTTTACATCGCAGTCAAAATAATACACTTCACTTCTTATTACATTTTAAATACTATTGATTTAGTTCATTACCTTGTAGGCAAGCCATTATATTATACAACTTTTTTCAGTCTGTTTGTAATGGAGTCAGTGTGTATGTAAGATTTCCTTCACCAGAAGTCGCCATACAGCTTTACCAGGAAGTTTATTGATTACAATAAATCATTATATTATACTATATTATTTTTAATATTATATATATATATATATATATATATATAAAATGATTCATTATACATTTTAAAATTTTAATACACAACATTTTATTTATCAGTACCCAACGAGCCAGCCAAGGAAATAACTGTAATTAATTATTTATAACGTAGATATGAAAAAAACACACACACAATAGCAATAAGTATAGGACTAAATATTTTTTTTGGGTGGGTAGAAAAACATTTTTTCTATAACGGTAACTATTCCGTATACAACATGTGAGGCATGTGAAAATGCTAATCTGATAGTTGAACACATATTCCAGTGCAAAAAGTTCCGGAAACAGGAAATCGAACTCCAAATTAATGACAAGACACCGTACAAAGAAAACAGTGGTATTGAAAAAATGCTGAAGTACATTCGAAAAATAAAATTAATAAGTTATATTTAATAAGAACGATCGTCGCTAATGACCCTGGTAGTCGATACGACGTTAAAAAACAGCAAATTAAAAAAAAATAAAATATTTATTTATTTATTTATTTATTTATTTGTTTTTTATTGTTGCCTCTACCCTGCAGGGTCATTGGCAACACTTCCTATTTATATTCTATTGTAGAATTTTATTTTTTTTAAAAACTGTAAGGTTTTTTCCACGGCGTTTTCGTTGTCGCTGAGGTTATCTTTTAGGCTCTGAGCCATATTGAGATTTTTCCTTACATTCTCAAATACTGGGCAGTCTTGAATGATGTGTTGGACAGTTCTTTGCACCTTACAGCTTTCGCAGGTCGGTGGGTCTAGTCCTCTTAGTAAGTAGGCATGTGAAAATTCGCAATGCCCAATTCTTAAGCGGCAGAGGACTGTCTCTTCTTTTCTAGAGAGTCGGTTGCTAGTTTTCCATTTGGAACAGTGGCTTTTTATTCCTTTTAATTTGGTTTCTTTTTGTTGCCATACGTTCTGCCACATTACCCGCAATTTTTTTTTTATATGATGTATGAAATCTTCTATCGGGATTTCTTTGATTATAACTGTTGGATTTGTATCTAGCCTTCTCGCCATATTTGCTGCTTTGTCTGCCTGTTCATTTCCGACAATTCCGCAGTGTGAAGGAACCCACATGAATACTATTTCCTTTCCCTTTTCTGTCAGTTTCCACCAGATATTTTTAATCGATCTTGCCAGTGTAGTTGTTGGTGTTCTCTTTTCAATGGCCAGGATTGCGCTCTTTGAATCGGTTACCACGACCCATTTGTTACCCTCCGTTGAATCAATGTATGTCAAAGCTTCTCTAATAGCGATCATCTCTCCACTAAATACAGAGCAGATCTCCGGAAGTTTGAAATACTTTTCTATTTGAGAGTTGACAATAGCACATCCTATTTCGTCGTTTACTTTTGAAGCATCAGTATAAATGATATTACATTTTTTATGCTTCTCCATTATTTCCAGAAATAGGGTTTGTGCTTCGATAGGCAGTAGCGTATCTTTTCGAGAGCCAGCCATCGAGTTCTCTATAACTGGCGAGGTATGGATCCAAGGGGGGATAATAATGTCCGGCACGTCCAAAAGAGATTCTAACTTTGATTCTGAGACATTTTCAAGAAATGTTTCTACGAAATGCTTTCCCCAGCTGTTTTCTGATTCTTCCTGAAACAGTATTTTATTTAATGTATGTTTTGGGCGTATCTTAATTTTGAGACCGTACTTTAGGGTTAGATACAACCTTCTCAGATAGAGAGGAGGTTCATCTGCTTCAACATACAGGCTTTCTACTGGTGAGGTTGCCAATGCTCCAGTGCAAATTCTTAAAGCACAATTGTGTACAACATCTAACATCATTAAAGTTTTCTTTGATGCTGTACCGTAAACACTTGAGCCATAATCTAGTTTGCTTTTGATGGTTGTGCAATATATATTTAAGAGGCTTTTCCTATCCGCTCCCCAGTTAAAAAATTATTTATTAGCAACACAGCTATTACTTTGGCAACTAGCGCTTAAGACATTGGATCGTTGTACTCTTAAGTGAGAGATTTATTTAGGATGATAAAACAGTTGAACAACTTCATACCACGAGAGGCCAGAGGGAAGAACTATAACTTAAAGGAAGGTCCAACGGAATTCATTTACTTCCTAATCAATAAATCTTAAACTGAATAACACTCTTCGATTCTGCGTCAAATATATTCTACATTTAATTTTTTTTTTAATTTGTATAAAATAATAATTTAATCACAAATATCATTATGAAGTGAAGAACATAAAAACGAAGCGGAAGGAATCTTTGTTCCCAGGGCCCATATAATAAGGGAGCTCCAAAATAGTATAGTTTTTTTTTTGTTTTTTTTTCTATGGTTCTCGCAAATATATACCACATGGACCCCTTTTCTAAGGGAGCCTGATATTTTATTCAGATTTATTTAAAGCGGATTCAAAATTAAATGCACCTCAGGTCACAAATGGTATAGATACCACCGCCCTTTCGACAAATGATTAAAGTAGCAATTATGTACTGTTTTTATCAATAATCCGTGGTACAGACCCCTTTTTATAAAATTATTAACATCTGCCTGAAACTTCGTAAAATGTTTCATCTCACCGTAACTATTTACAAAAATTCTTGGAATTGGGTTTTTTTTTTTTTTTTTCTTTTTTTTAGGAACTTTCTTTATTGGGATATATTAGAATCTGCCACATTCAAGGACGATAGTAATAGTGATAAAGAGTAGCTCATTACTTTGCTAATAAAATAAAATATTCCGAAATAAAAAGTTAGAAACTATATAAAATTATGTTTAAGTGTTCGTAGCAGATCTATACAAAAAAAAAAAATAATAATAACGCTTTTAGAGATAAATTATTTATATTTTTTTTCTTGACTTGTGCTTGAATGTAGTAGCTAAATTTTAATTGTTTTAATAATAAGTATTTAGCTTATTTTTTTTTTTTTTTTTTTTTTTTTTTTTTTTTTTTTTTTCTTACCCTCCAAAAAGTTTATTGAAACAATTACATATATATTATACAATAATACAATATAAACATGTAATAAATTCCTTCCACTGCCCGAGGGCATAAAGTATTTAGCTTAGATCATTCAGAGAAACAAATATGCACCAATGAAAAAACATTTTTTGGGAGGAAGGTACCTGCCCGAAAGTATCCCCTCTCCTTCCAACATATCAACATTGTTAACATAAATAATAGAAGAAGAAACTTTTTAAAAAACGTCTACCATTTCACGATGGCCTGGCTGCTATGCTACGCTGGTTCACAACGAACCTAAACAGCTGACACCTCAGCCCTTGATGGGTCGCTTAACAGTCCGAAACTGGTTTACAACCTGTCATAAATTAAAAACAAACTAACCACCGCTAATTACCTTGGTGATGATGGCCGTGCTGAGAGTTGGCCTGAGTCTGTTCCTCGATGCTCCACGTGTACTCCATGAGATCGGGGTGGAGCGGATCCTGCCTATTACATCTGACGGAGGATCGATGAGCGGCGAACTCGAAGAACGGTCGGCTGTGGATACCCTCGTTATTCGTTGTCTACTGTATCGGCCCGTTCGATGGGGCGGGGGTGGGGTTGTCCTGCCGACCAATCAGGGAGCGGGCTTAGACCAAAATGGCGGCGGCCCTCACAGAACGGCCATCCCCAAGAATGGACCCTCGCGATTCCCCTTTTAGATCCGGTCGATATCTTAGAAAGAGGTTTGAGGAAAGGTTAGATGTTGTGCAACACAGCTATTACTTTGGCAACTAGCGCTTAAGACATTGGATCGTTGTACTCTTAAGTGAGAGATTTATTTAGGATGATAAAACAGTTGAACAACTTCATACCACGAGAGGCCAGAGGGAAGAACTATAACTTAAAGGAAGGTCCAACGGAATTCATTTACTTCCTAATCAATAAATCTTAAACTGAATAACACTCTTCGATTCTGCGTCAAATATATTCTACATTTAATTTTTTTTTTAATTTGTATAAAATAATAATTTAATCACAAATATCATTATGAAGTGAAGAACATAAAAACGAAGCGGAAGGAATCTTTGTTCCCAGGGCCCATATAATAAGGGAGCTCCAAAATAGTATAGTTTTTTTTTTGTTTTTTTTTCTATGGTTCTCGCAAATATATACCACATGGACCCCTTTTCTAAGGGAGCCTGATATTTTATTCAGATTTATTTAAAGCGGATTCAAAATTAAATGCACCTCAGGTCACAAATGGTATAGATACCACCGCCCTTTCGACAAATGATTAAAGTAGCAATTATGTACTGTTTTTATCAATAATCCGTGGTACAGACCCCTTTTTATAAAATTATTAACATCTGCCTGAAACTTCGTAAAATGTTTCATCTCACCGTAACTATTTACAAAAATTCTTGGAATTGGGTTTTTTTTTTTTTTTTTCTTTTTTTTAGGAACTTTCTTTATTGGGATATATTAGAATCTGCCACATTCAAGGACGATAGTAATAGTGATAAAGAGTAGCTCATTCATACTATACACAATAAATAAAAATAATAAACAGCATTATAATAATATTAAAAGTAAATGTACATAAAAGATACTAAACTAAACAAAAATAAACTAATCTAACAAAATAAATACTTAAATATACACATGTTTTTATACAATATTCATACAAGTTTCATCTCATCGTAACCATTTAACTATTCACAAAATTCTTGGAATTGGGAGGTTTTAAATCTGGAGATAGGCAAAAATTTAGTTAGGTCCAAAAAACTCGTAAATGCCAATTTCCTTTCCACTTGAATCATAAGATAAATTAAGCAAAAATCGAGAAAAGAGGTGGCTTTAAAAAATATTGAGCCTTTACCTACACCCCGAACATGTCAAAATAACGAAGTTATATAAATCCTTCCTTCCGAAGGCAATATTTCTTAGGTACGTTCCTCTACCAAATCATTAACAACCATCGTCCTTCTTACGCCTACAACCTTCTCCAGTTCAAATCCTCAGTCCATTCCCTGTCCACAAGATCTCGACCTTCTAACCTTTACATGCCTTCTCACAGATCTGCCTCATTCCAAAACTCCTTTATTGCTCGCTCTGTCAATTTCTTTAGTTCCCTCCCTATCAAAATTCGACATTCCCCCTCCATATTCACATTCAAAACCTTCCTACTCCAATTCCTACCCCAAAAATAGTCAGATAGTTGCTAACCATTCGACAACATACATTTATTTCATGATATTCACGGGCGAATCTACGCGGGGAGGGGAACTTTGGTGCCCCCCCTCTTTAAAGTGCTACAATATGACCATGTTTCATAGAAAAAAATATAAAAAAATTATCTCTTAAAGTATTATTGTTCGTGCAATTACATTTAAAAGGACTTTAGGAATCATCTAAACGCCATTTCATATAGGTAGTTAGTTTTTTTCCTCTTTTCCAAAGTAATTATCGATATTTTGATGAAAAAAAAGCTTTCGGGCTGAAGCCTCCTCCCCTCCCCCCCTCCAAATTATTAAATCATGGATCCACTAGTGATGATATTCATTGTCAAATATCAATGATGTTCTTTGCTAGGGATATTGATTTTCTTACAGGGTAAAGATTTTCTTACTCTTGATGTCAATGAACGCGAAAATTGGTTGTTTATGACTATTATCTTTTAAACACCACTAAATTCTTGCCTATCGTTACGTTAAGAAATTATGATGTATTTATATATTTATGAACATTTAAATGATAATGTATTTATATATTAATTAGGCACTATATATTGTCAGGTTCAGTTTTCTTAAAATAATTTAAAACATCTTAAATTATTTACTTTTTTTTTTCTTCAATTTAGGTCATAAGACATATCCTAGGTTGCAAAGGAGCTATTTTCGCCTATTACAGAAGATTAATCAACAATATGCAAACGATAAGAAGACAATTTTCAAATGGCGAATCGCCAATTTATGACAGAACTGAAGAGGAAAATGATTCATACATTAAACTTGAACTATGAATAACAAATGAATACGAAATTAACATAAAACATTCTGAGAAAAACAATCCATTCTAAAAATGTCATAATAAACTGGTGAATAATCAATTAAGAACAATCCAAAGTTAATATTAGCACTTAGCTAACTAATATTGGATAAATCTTTGTGCTTAGTACTCAGCTGTTACTGGATTAAATTAAAAAGGCTTGATTAAAATTAATTAATGTTGTTTTTTGTTCGAATTAAGATTGAATCCTTCAATGAGGTGAAAATTTAGGCATAATATTGAAAAATAAAAATTGCATGGCTAATGAAAGATTTTTATTTTGTGCAATTGCCATCAATAATCCGTAAGTACCTAAGATTACAAGTATTGATAATCAACAGATGACCTAATGAAAATAATGGAAACGACATGTTATATAGATTTTCTTAATTAATGTGACCTATACCCCAAAATTTTCAAAATAACGAGGTTATATAGGACAAATGGCCCAATGTTTTAGTAGGCTACCATTTTTTATCAATTTTTTGATCAATTGATCTTACGATCCAAGAAGAAATGGGTATTTACGAGTTTTTATTACCTAATGAAGTAGACAAACTTTGCCTTCTCCAGATTGAAAACGCTCCAATTGCAAGAGTTTCCGTAAATAAAATAGTTTTAGGTTACGATGAGGTGAAACTATTTACGAAGTGTCAGGCGGATGTTAATAATTCGATAAAAAGGGGTCTGTACCACGGACTATAAGTGAAAAATTCAAAGGCGCGAGATTAATAATATGAAATATAAATTATAAATTATAACTATCTAGGGAGCGCTATCATTGTGAAGTGTCTCCACAAATCTGTTTATGAAATTACTTGATTGGCTCATATTTATTAGTTGTATTTATTTAGTACAGTTGTAAATTTCAATACATAAATAAAGAAAAAAAAGCTTCGGATAGATAGATAGATAGATAGAAAATAACTTTATTCTGGGACACAGTCCCTTGAGAATAACAAAATAGAACAAAATTAAAAGATTACATCTGGCCAAAATAAAATCAATCGAAAAAATGAAATAATGTAAAGAAAATATAAGGTAAATATTCTATATACAAAAGAAACGAAACTATATACAAAACACTATTAACACTATGACAAGACACTTAAAGCTATTTGCACTGATATACCAGTATACACTTTTAAGAAAACATTAAAGAATTAAAAAATAAAAATATATTAACTTATTTATTAAAATCAGCCTTGTGTTTCTGCTGAGAAAACAGAAAGCTGAATCTGACAATATAAAGTGCCTGATTAATATATAAATACATCTTCATCATTTCCTAACGTAACAATAGGCAAGAATTTAGTGGTGTATAAAAGATAATAGCTATAAACAACCGATAGGTGCGTTCAGTGACATCAAGAGTAGGAAAATCTTTACCATATAAGAAAATTAATATCTCTAGCAAAGAATAGCATTGCTATTTGACGATGAGTGACATGAAATAAATGTATGTCGTCGAATGGTTAGCAACTATCGGAATAGGAGGGTTTTGAATGTGGATATGCATGGGGAATGTCGAATTTGGATAGGGAGGGAATCCCAGAAATTGACAGAGCGAACCATAAAGGAGTTTTGGAATGAGGCAGATTTGTGAGAAGACATGTAAAGGTTAGAAGGTCGAGATCTTGTGGAAAGGGAATATAATGAGGATTTGAATTGCAGAAGGTTGTAGGCGTAAGAAGGACGATGGTTGTTGATGATTTGGTAGAGGAACGTACCTAGGAAATATTGTCTTCGGAAGGAGGGATTTATATAACTTTGTTATTTTGACATGTTGGGGTTATAGATAAAGGCTCAATATTTTTTAAAGCCCCCTCGTTTCTCGATTTTGTGCTTAATTTATCTTATGATTCAAGTGGAAAGGAAATGGGAATTTATGAGTTTTTAGTACCTAACTAAATAGACAAAGTTTGCCGATCTCCAGATTTAAAACCCCCCAATTACAAGAATTTTTGTAAATAGTTGTAGGTTACGATTAGATGTAACAATTAACGAAGTTTCAGGCAGATGTTGATAATTCTATAAAAAGGGGTCTGTACCACGGACTGTAGAGAAATACAGTACAATACTGTTACGTTAATAATTTGGCGATTGAGCGGTAGTATCTAGACCATTTGTGTCCTGAGGTGCGTTTATTTTTGAAGCCGCTTTAAATAAATCTAAATAAAGTGTCAGGCCCCCTTAGAAATGGGGTCCATGTGGTATTTATTTTCGAGAACCATAAAAAAATCCCTATGATACTCCAAGAAGGTTGAAACGGCAGTGGCCTCGCGACCTTTTGTAGATTGTATATATTGGAGTTCTGGCAATGGCAAGATTCTCCACTCAAGAAATGTGTGTAAGTGGCTAAAGTGCTCTCGATGAATCTTCGCTGGTACCAGTACCAGTGATGTGGTTGAGGGAGTAGCGCAGGGTTCTCCTGGAGTTCCCTTGCCTGATTGTATGCATGTGTTTTTTAGTTAGTTTTAATTATCTTTTTTTTAGGTTATTTTATTTATTGTATATACATTTGGTTATTATTTATTGTTATTTGGTTCTATTTATTTTATATGGCTTAAGAAGGACGATGGTTGTAGGCCTGGAGAAGGTTGTAGGCGTAAGAAGGAGGATGGTTGTTGATGATTTGGTAGAGGAACGTACCTAGGAAGTAGGCGAAAAG